ACAAAATCCTCATATTACCGGTATGCTTCTGAGTGCGGGGATAAATATTCACTTTATCGTATTTATGGAGCCTGAAAGTTTGGGAATTTGTGCATTTTTCATACTTTCAAAAGGCCATAAGTACGAAACATTGTTACACGAGTATCCCCATATCAAGGTGTCCTTGCATACTAGAGATCACCATGGAGAAGATACTGTAAAACGGGAAAGTCTAAGGAACAAAAAGTGTAGCGTGTTTTGTAATTTTGTCATTATTTCATGCAGAAAAAGTTTAACGATGGTCACCTGGCCACCCATCTGTATGCGCATCTTTACTCATCTATTGTAATATTATTGCCAAATATTGCCGGCCTAGTTACGAGCAAGGAGAGTCAAATGGAGGCCGAATGTAAAATTTCTTTGAATTGCCCAACTGCGGTCCGACTTTGGGACAACGTCTTTGGGCTCTAGCGGTAGTTTCCAGCCTTGTGACTGCTGGTGCTTGGCTGCATCGTTGTCCGTGTCGTAATAGCGTTCGAGGAAGGGTTAAGACCCTGAAATGTAGAGACTGGATGCCAAAAATACGATCTTTTAAGTGTGGTGTGACTGGTGCAAAAGGGTTAGAACGAACCTTAGGAGACCGATACTATTTGCCAACAATAACGTGAGCTCGTCTGAGCCATATGTTACACACAGTGAATACACAGAAAACAATGTGCTGTGAATTCATGACAGCATGTCCTCCGCCTTGTAACATTGTGTCAATTTCTTGAAGTAGTTTTTCCCACGCAACAGGCTTGACTAACAGAAACCCAGCGCCAGGGCACCCAAGGGAACCGAAAGTTCGTTCTACAAGCTGAATTTATTCAAATAACGCTTGCCCTAAGTCTTCACGAAAGTTCGCTGTACGGGATGAGTGTTGCACGAATACTTTTCACTTGATGCCTGGCCACCTTTGGATTTTCCCTACAGTCCATTTCCAACAAAATCGGCAAAATCGGGCAACAGAGTACATAGAAGAGCTTGTCACGGCCCGGTAAATAATTGTTCTGCGAAGGGTTTGGAAAAATTCGACCATCTCATGGTTTACAATTTGCTAGAACCCAGTAACATTTTTTAAACAAAAACCCACGATTTATATTTGCCTTTCATGCTAGCGTTGTGAAAATGAATGCTGTCTGCTGACCATAAAGTTAGTTGTGAGTTCAAATCCCAACCTATCTTCACCTCCAACGTCATTCCCATTATTTTGGTTGATAAGTCAAAGAAGGTGGCTTCTCCAAACGACATGTTGATGTTGGAGCTCCCTGCCGACTGACTGACATTTGACCTGGCTCACGCAATAGTGAACATATGTACATACTTCGAGTACAACACTGAAACGGTTTGAGTGAATAGGAGTTATTGCACTGTAGCTACATGTACGTGTTGGATATGCATGTACAGGCACAGCGATTGATCGACTTGAGAATTATTTCAGTATTTCACGAGTTAACAAACGTTTCGGAGACATCAGTTTTAACATAGCTACAAAGACAACTAATTGCACAGTAAGCATTTCATATAATATATGAAATGCTTATGTCGACATGTATGTGTAAAATGTTGTACGATTAGTTGCGAGGCACACAGCGAAAGGGAAGGCGGGGATTCGTTGAGAACTGTTTTCTTGTTACAATCATCAGTAAATCTACAATGGAAGGGGGACTACTTGAAACTAATCTTATATGGACAAATACAAGTGAAAGAAGGGGAAAAAGAGTGAAAACTAAAAAGGTGATTATACTACATCTATTCAGCAGGGGGCAAGCTGAGCAGGCAAGAGCAATGCATATGTGAATCATCAGCATCAGCAAAACAACGAACAAACCTGAACAGACGGAAGGAAGTGTGAACGGAGGGGGGGGGGACAATCATACTCACCACACTCGCACCATAAACTACGTAAACAATTCGAGGGTGATAACACTTGCCTTCTGTATACACAACACTGGCTTGTACAAGTGAATGAAGATTGCTTCGAAAACTTTAAGCTGCATAGTATGAGTATGACTAGCACGACACAACACAGTGAAAGAGGAATCCGAGTACGAATGACAACAATCAGGATTACCCACCAAATACCTGTAAATTGCCGATTTCTTCACATCCAACTTCAGGTCACAATCACACCCGACATCACCAGCCTCATCGCCATCCGCTTCATCCTCGGTATCAACTTCTCCAACTGACTCATCTGAACGCTCCTCCTTTTCTCCCCCATCCACCGACCTCCGTGTTAGCACCTGGTCACCTCCTCCCTGCTCTACTGACTCATCATCATGCTCCGCATCCTTTTCTTCGTCCGGTGACCTCCGTGCTCGCTTCCGGTTGCCTACTCCAACCAGCATCGTAGCCCTCGCGCCACCACCAACGAAGAACACCGTATAGTCCACAGCTGTACGATACGGTCGTAAACACATGGAGCTGGTAGCAACTGGTCCCGAGATTTTCTGTAACGAACCGGCAGTTGGTATCAGAGCTACGTAATTGCATGTTGACTGTGTATCTGCCACATCCACCATGGATGGTTCCACGCCAGATGCTCTCATAGTTGACCGGTCTGATCGCAACACGAGTGTAGGAGACGCCACTAGCAAAGGAACGTTCCTCGGCCTGTCACACCCTCTGTGCTGCGAAGCTGATGTAGACATGGTTGAAGTCGAAATGCTGTCAGTCGATTCCGAAATCTGCATTGGAGGCTGCACTGGATTCTTTCTAGGCCGGCCGCGTCTAGGTTGCGTACAGCGCTGGGATTCCGGTAGAATCTTCAATGGTACGTGTTGTTTGATGCGTGTGTACAGGTGTTGAACAGTCCTGCCAACATACCGGCTACCACACTGCCGGCATTCAAACTGGTAAACCAGATGGCTAAGTTTGTTGGTTGGTTGGACATCCTTCAACACCCGAAACGCACGTATCGTTGTAAAAACTGGGCGAAATTTGACAGCGTAGTAGGTCTTCCGCACCAGAACCGGCCGTTGGTCCAGATAGGTGCCCTATCTATTTGTGTCTGCCCTGGAACGGTCAAGAATCTATTAATGTTTGCCGAGAGTTGAGAGCTCTGGTGCGGAAGGCATACTACGCTGTCAAATTTCGCCCAGTTTTACAACGATGCGTGCGTTTGGGGTGTTGAAGGATATCCTACCAACCAACCAACTTATCCATCTGGTTTACCAGTTTGAATGCCGGCAGTGTGGTAACCGGTATATCGGTAGGACTGTTCACATCTGTACATATGCATGAAACAACACGTACCATTCAAGATTCTACCGGAATCCCAGCGCTCTGCGCGACCTAGACGCGGCCGGCCTAGAAAGAATCCAGTGCAGCACAGACGTTGTGACAAGCTGAGGAACGTTCCTTTGCCAGTGGCGTCTCCTACACTCGTGTTGCGATCAGAACCGCCAACTATTAGAGCATCTGGCGTGGAACCATCCATGGTGGATGTGGTAGATACACAGTCAACATGCAATGACGTAGCTCTGATACCAATGGCCGGCTCGACACAGAAAATCTCGGGATTAGTGGCTACCAGCTCCATGTGTTTACGACCGCGTCGTACAGCTGTGGACTATACGGTTTTCTTTGGTGGTGGTGGCGCACGGGCTACGGTGCTGGTTGGAGTAGGCAACCGGAAGTGAGGACGGAGGTCAACGGACGAAGAAGAGGATGCGGGGCATGATGATGAATCGGTGGAGCAGGGAGGAGCTGACCAGGTGCTAACACGGAGGTCGGTGGATGGGGGAGAAGAGGAGAAGCGTTCTGATGAGTCAGTTGGAGAAGTTGATACGGAGGATGAAGCGGATGGCGATGATGCTGGTGATAAAGAGTTGGTGGACAAGCCGTTGATTATTTACTCTCATTGTAATATCAAAAAAGTATTCTTTCTAGACCAAAGAGTGGTATATTTGATAAAATTAAATAATGATAGAAATATTTGCGATACGTCTCCAGACGTTTCGTTGTTCTGAACAACATCGTCAGTATTTATCCACTGACGATGTTGTTCAGAACAACGAAACGTCTGGAGAAGTATCATAAATATTTCTATCGTTATTAAATTTTATCAAATATACCACTCTTTGGTCTAGAAAGAATACTTTTTGATGCTGGTGATGTTGGGTGTGATTGTGACCTGAAGTTGGGTGTGAAGAAATCGGCAGTTCACAGGCTTTTGGTGGGTCATCCTGATTGTTGTCATTCGTACTCGGATTCTTCTTTCACTGTGTTGTGTCGTGCGAGTCATACTCACATTATGCAGCTTAAAGTTTTAGGGGCAATCTTCATTCACTTGGACCAGTAAGTGTTGTGTGTATAGAAGGAAAGTGTTATCACCCTCAAATTGTTTACGTAGTTTATAGCTACGAGAATAAGACTCTTCGTTTATCAAGTCACCATTATTATGGCCCATAACGTTTAGTTCTGTCTCACGTGCTTATTTCAGATCCAAGACAAGATGGAGGAGTGTTTCAGATGTATACTAACACCGGAACCGCCGCTGTCGCTTTCCAAGTAGTTAACGTGATTACTGAGTCAACTGGGGTTGTATACCAAAAGCACCCCGAATTCCTCGGTATTTCGTTAAAATCTACCCCTGAGTGCCTCTGTCAATACACTTGGCAGATGCGACCTGCCACTATACCCGTTCCTCCTCCCGTGGATGCTGCAAAGGCGCTTGAGTCAAGTGATACGCACTTCTTGATGGGCGACATTCACTTGAACGCAGGTCTGGTTTCCCCTAAGTACTTATGGCCGTCAATAGGAAATAAGGAAATCAATCTTCAAGTCATGAAGAGCCAAGTTCCCAATGAAGGCTCAGAATTGGTTTTCGCCACAGCCACACAGTTCGCTATGACGGCACAGTTTCAAGTCGTTGACATAGAAAATTACGTTGCACCATCACACGCTGCCTGTGACATTCCGGGCAACTTGAAGTGAACGCGGATTTCAAAATTTGTATTCTCCCTTTGGTTATATTTAGTGGAGCCAAAGGCAGTAGACATGACTACATCTCTCAAAGCGGAATTCCTCAAATCGTAATGTTTTTTTCTGTTTATCCCTACTGCTGCGCTCATAATTGTGATCTGAGAAAGTAAGACTTATTGCATCCTGCATCAGAAAATTTACAGTGAATGGCCATAGTTCTCGCTGAATTGGAACTTTAAGCTAAGTGTTTTTTGCATCTCTATTCTTCTCTCGGAAATGTGCCCCTCGCCCCCCCCCCCCTCCCCAGTTTTGGTATAAGTAATGACACCGTGATCTATCGTTTTAGCCCGTTTACAGCTATCTTTCCACGTACATGTGCAAAGGTCATTGAGGTATAGACTCAATGTATAATTAATCGTCTGTATGTGTATTGAGTTGAACCTGGTACCTCTCGTTTCTCAATCATGGTCTTAGACCAACCTGTAATGACCTCCCGACGTCCGTAGTACGTGTCGAGAGCACACCAAATAACTAACTCAACACTGTCTCGTTGTGAGGCAAAGAACCCTTTTCATTATCAGTGCAGGAACACAGATAGTCGTGAACGAAACATAATACAGCAAGACAGGTACTCCAAATTATCGAGATCTAGTAGAGTACTTGAGGGTACGGTACAGAGCATGACACATCTAGATATGGGATGAATCAACAAAGGGATACCGTAATGGATAGTCTAGATCTATCAAGAGAAGAGTACGAATAATAAGAGAACAGGCATGCACAATGGGTACACACACAAACAAGATAACACTACACAACCCACTGTGCCTTCCTGCTTGGAAGCGGAAGGATGTTTTCCAACAGTGCTGCGACTCACAGTTAGTTGGGAACTCGTGGCCTGGCATGAGGAAAACATGGATGTGGCAAATGGGATTTAGGCCTTTGGCCTCTGGTTGGTGGATCTGATCTATCCTCCCCCACCGTTTAGGTGCCGCATCTGACGCCTGATCATGGGGTGGTGGCGTCCCACGGAAGCAGAAAGGTGGTTCTTGACCAGGGAGTTGTACGACTCCTTGTTCTTGACCTGCCCGGCACGCGAACCCCGTCGATTTATTATTATTATTATTATTAAAAGTAGAAAGGAAAAGGACATCTGGAAACGAGTTAAGAGTAACTCTCCACCACTGTAACTAGATACTATATACAGTCGGAAAGTGCAACAACTAGGCACAAAACTGACAGAGTACTGAGACATTCGACGTCCTGACACATAGCTTCAACACATCTCCGTAGCGCTAACCGACAGCCTTCCAACTTGGAAGGTTCAAGGTTATGGAAAGACCAAAGAGGGGAAGGCAAGCGCAACGAAAACGAGCACAAGCTACAGTCCCAACGGAACAAAGAATGTCGATTGTCACTGGACGATGACGAGACCAGTAGGCGATTTGCACTTTCTGACTGTATATAGTATCTAGTTACAGTGGTGGAGAGTTACTCTTAACTCGTTTCCATATGTCCTTTTCCTTTCTACTTTTATTATTGGCTCAATACCCGAGTTTCAAATTAATATTATTATTCTCACTAGTTTGAGGGAAAGAGACAAACGGGAAAAGCCTGAAGAAAAAATTGACTGTCACCACCAGGACTCGAACCAGGGACCCTCGCTTGTAGCTAGCGATGCTCTAACCACTGAGCTATGGTGTAGTCGTCATCCCAGCAGAGACTGTTCAACATTTTCTTCAGACTTCGTAACTCACACTTCCTGTGAATCCACACAGGCGGGTGGGACGCAGCCCTCACTGTACCCACACACTTCACGTACACTCTAGCACGCGGGGAGCCCCAAGTCATAAAATCTTCACTAGTTTGAGGGAAAGACTCTGCATCGTTGAAAAACACAAGCATCTTGGCGTCATTATTGACCAACACTTAACCTGGAAATCCCAGATCGAAAATTTAGACAGCCGTGTTAGCTCAGTAATGGGATTTCTCTCATCACACATCACCCACCTGCACACCGACTGTCGCCATGTTATCTACACATCTTACATTCTGCCTATTTTTGATTACTGCTGCATAATTTGGGCTGGCATTTCTAAAACACTGATTGCTCGACTCGAAGTTATGCATAGGCGTCTTTTGAAAATATTATTTCGGCTTCCTCGCCTGACTCCAAGCGCAGACTTATACCGCCTTGCTTCTGCTGTGCCGCTCTCGGTCCGCGTGCGTTTTTTGGCATGCCAGACAATTCATAAAATTAAGCTGGGCATTGCTCCTCTTCATGCTCTCTCCTGCCTAAGCTGGTTTGCTCAATCTCAAGACATGCGCACCAGAAACTCTCTCCGCTTCCCTATTGCGCGGTCTGCCTCTATGCAAACATCTCCTCTCTTCCTTGCTTACCGCCATTGGTCTCTCCTCCCACAACATCTAAAATCCTGCCAATGTTACAATACATTCACACAGCTACTGCAGAATGCAACATACTAGTTGATATCCAGCCCTGCCCTAGCTTCTTTTGCTTTTCAGTTCCCCTTTCATTCTTTTTCTTTTCCCCCTCTAGCTGTATTACCGCCATGGCTGGCTATCGCCCACATCACCATTTCATTGGCTAGTGCCACGTGATTGTGAATAAATAAATAAATAAAATAAATAAAGAGACAAACGGGAAAAGCCTGAAGACAAAATTGACTGTCACCACCAGGACTCGAACCAGGGACCCTCGCTTGTAGCTAGCGATGCTCTAACCACTGAGCTATGGTGTAGTCGTCATCCCAGCAGAGACTGTTCAACATTTTCTTCAGACTTCGTAACTCACACTTCCTGTGAATCCACACAGGCGGGTGGGACGCAGCCCTCACTGTACCCACACACTTCACGTACACTCTAGCACGCGGGGAGCCCCAAGTCATAAAATCTTCACTAGTTTGAGGGAAAGAGACAAACGGGAAAAGTCTGAAGACAAAATTGACTGTCGCCACCAGGACTCGAACCAGGGACCCTCGCTTGTAGCTAGCGATGCTCTAACCACTGAGCTATGGTGTAGTCGTCATCCCAGCAGAGACTGTTTATTTTTTTTTTATTTTTTTTTTTGAGAACGGAGAGCGGCAGCAGCCTGCAGGTCTTATTCCCAGCAGAGACTGTTCAACATTTTCTTCAGACTTCGTAACTCACACTTCCTGTGAATCCACACAGGCGGGTGGGACGCAGCCCTCACTGTACCCACACACTTCGCGTACACTCTAGCACGCGGGGAGCCCCAAGTCATAAAATCTTCACTAGTTTGAGGGAAAGAGACAAACGGGAAAAGTCTGAAGAAAAAATTGACTGTCACCACCAGGACTCGAACCAGGGACCCTCGCTTGTTATTATTATTATTATTATTATACAAACTGGTTTATTATGTACTATTATGTGAGATGAAATACAACAGGAAAGGGCACAGGCCCTGATACGTGCAAGGGATAGCAATCAACCTTGCACATGTGTTCTAAATACATGTAAATGTAAATGCAAAACAATAAAAAACAAAAACACAAACAATGAGCAATAACTTCAGGACTGGGCACAAGTCCTAAACCAGTAAAAGGTGCAAGAGATAATAATCAACCTTGCGAGTTCGAGTCAAAGCATGCGGACTCACAACAAAATGGCATCAACGTGAGCAAAGAGGAAGAAGAGAAAGGAAACAGCAAAACAAAAAACAAAGACGGAGGATAAACGTCAACAGAACCAAAACTGGCAAACAAACCTGTGACATCATCATGCACAGACACAAAAGACAAATTGAGCCGAGTCAAACTGGCATGAGCGACTCATGCTGCAGGACATCGCTGGGGTGATGGCTGAAATTCACCTTCCTCCGACTACCACGCAACATCATGACGGAGTCACGGACTAGAGTGAAGCCAAGCTCACAGCGGATCCGTCCCATGAGGATGCTGTACGAGTCTCCGGTTGCCGCTGCCAGGCGAATGGCGAGACGTTTCAACACATTCCGGGCCTCACCGCCAGCTCCCCCGACAGAGGAGAACACCAATGGAGAGAAGCTTCCCCTCTCCACCCGCCGGATCCGCTCACCATAAGCCGCTTTCTTCTGCTCCTCATGCCATCTGTAGGTCGCAGAGAGGGACTTAGTCATGTAAGAGGACGCGCAGGGATAGAAAACCCTTATGTCAAAAAATGCATCCTCTTGCATGGACCAGAGGCACCTCCCCTTGACGTCCAGTCTGGCCTGAGGGTCAGTGTTGGCGGCCCTTGGAAGAGCTTCACCAGCAAGGGGTTGAAGAACAGGCTCCGTCTCCACGGCATTGCACACTCTGCCAAGAAGGCCGGGAAGGTAGTCCCGGACATGGTTGTGGCGGATGATGGGGAAGCCGCCACGTCTGCATATCATGGCATGGTCGGTGGTGAAAGGCACACCACATAAGCAGGTGTCAGGGATACCAAGAACAGGCCACCCATAGCGTGCAGCAAGAGCATCCTGGAATGACCTCCTGTCGAGGCTGAAGCCGTGTGCAGCGATGGGCAGGCACGATAGCCACGAGCTGGCACCGCGGTCGCAACTAGCCTCCAAGGAGCGCTGCTCATGGTCGCTGAGGTCTGCACTGATGGTGGCAGTAGTGTCGGACCACAGGGTACGTATTATTATTATTATTATTATTATTATTTAAAAATTCGACGAGGAGACAATAATTTTAATATGGCAATAAGTAGGACGAGCTGAAGCGACATGTGGACTACTTTATTAACAATGTAAGCGATGGAGACGATGCAAGAAACGACCTAAAGGGTAAGGAAAAATACATGTAAGAAGAAAAAGGGCAATGGAAAAAAAAAGATGATTCGAACAAGTTTTCGTACAACACTCTTCAGGAATCACCGTTGTACTAAAGAACAAAATGAGAACAAAGGAAATAATATAGCAATCAAGGTAGGGTGACACGATACAATGACAGTGTTCGAATCATCTTTTTTTTTTCCATTGCCCTTTTTCTTCTTACATGTATTTTTCCTTACCCTTTAGGTCGTTTCTTGCATCGTCTCCATCGCTTACATTGTTAATAAAGTAGTCCACATGTCGCTTCAGCTCGTCCTACTTATTGCCATATTATTATTATTATTATTATTTTTTCCGAGTGTTTATTGCCATCTTATTGCCAAATTGTTAACAGATGCGTTGACCTCCTGTAATGAGTGATATGCGAACTGTCATTATTATTATTATTTTATTTATTTATTTTATTATTATTTGAAAGTAGGACGGAGGCAGAAAATATTACAAAAAAAGTATTGTCTACGCATGCATCTACGCAAGAGTCACCACCAGCCAATTAGGACATGTGTCAAAGTATTGAACGTTTTCGTTCCCTTCTTGTCAA